ATGCGTGCATGAACATGAAGTTTCCAATCTATATACATTTGACTACTATTTATATGCATTGAATGTAACATTGATGGCATGTCACTTACTCCGAAGTTAAAGTGGAATACTTTTCTGAGCAGCGATTTAACTAAACCTTCCAATTGCATCTAGCAAGTGGGATTGGACAAAAACTAATCCAAATCAATCAAATCGATCGAGTTTGAGTTGGTTTTTAAGTTCAACTGAGTTTGATGATTGAGTGTGACTCTTCATGTGGAATGGTGTACAATGAATAGTCAGACTTTGAATAGAGAGCGATTTGAACCATCAATCACATCCCAATCTGATATGATGTGATGTAATGGTCCAAATGATTTTATGTTAAAAGATGCAATCATTCAGAATAGATATAAAAAAAATCATAAAAATGATCCTGCTAATCCTATTTTCTTTATTCCAAATTAATTAATTAATGAATTTATTTTCTCTTTAAATTTTGTCAAAATATTTTTCAAGATTTAGTATTTGAAATCATACAATGTAGAAAAGTACGTTCAAGTTAGTTTGCCCAACAAAAATAATTTTTCCTGTATTAATTTAAATAGATATATGTTTTATTTTGTTGCACCAATGCAGTGACGAAATTTTAGAAAGGAGATTTGTAATCATATACATCGCTTTATTGTATCTCTTTATAATTTTTTCATATTTTATATTATAGTAAGTCACAAACTGCTCATTTTTGCACCAAATTTTATACATGGTGACGCCTAGCTACTAGAGTGTATGTAACACGCGATGGAGGGACAAGTGATTCAAATTTGAGGACACAGAGGCCTGCAATTTTGAAGTCAACATAATGTTCATTGTAGCTTGTCCAGCACTATTATGAAAGTGGATATATAAAGATGGGCCAGCTCAGATTTGTTTCTCTAGCCATGTATATGGGAAGTTGTTAGAGCATTTCAATGTACTTGTGGATTGTTTCAAAAATTATATCTTATAAGTAATGTAGATGGTGTTTAAAAAATTTCTCTCAATTGCAAGTTGACAGGAATTCTGTCAAACTAATTTGACAAAGAAATAAATAAACATTGTTTAGAGTTTCTCCTGGACTCAAAAGCTATATTAGATATTTTTACTTAGCAAAATTTATATTAATAACGCGGATTTACATTTCCTATGCAGGCTTAAATGTAATTTTTTTTTATTATTATTTTGAAAAAATAAATGACACCTAGATAACAATTCATAGAATGCATCGAAGATTAAATTTGAATTTGAGTGTCTATTAGTTTGACATCAGTGCTACGTAGATCAGAAATCTAACTTCATATCACCTAGATCTCAAATATAAAATGCATTAGAGTTGCTCTTAGTGACTAGTCTTCGTACTGTAGAAAGCCAATTCCACGATATATGCTAAGAAATATAGATATGCATCAGTAGGCATGTTCGAGTTGCACCGCTTCATTTGGGCCTTTGATAATGATGGCTTTTCATTGTAACGGCTTGGATACACTTGGGAGATGGACGTTCAGGATCACACTTGATTTGATTCAACAATTGAGGTGCGTTGCCTCAGCCTATATAAGGCCGCTTTCTCCCATTCAACAAGTTTTTACTTTTGTAAAAAAACTCAAAACACACACAGTGATTCTGCTCTTGAGAGATTCCAGCAAAGCATTTTGATTTTTCAGTGACTATCAATGACTCTGGGGAGCCATTGTTCTAGAAAATCCTTTCTTTAGGTAAACTTCCATCAACATCTCTCATTTTCTTCAACTGAAAACCCAAATCTCAAAATGTCGGGTAACTCTAGTTGTGATTCCTAGAGCTCCATCTTCACTAGTGAAATTGTACCCTTTTGAATCAATAGTACTCAAGGAGATAAGATTTCTTTTCAAATTTGGAACGTGTCTCACCTTCTAACTTTTGCATCAAACATCTTAATTATAGCCCTTCCAATATCAACTATCTTGCAAGGTTCATTATTATCTATTACCACAACACCTTTTGAAATTATTTCATATATTGAAAACAAATCCTGATTAGGACATATATGAAAAGTACAAGTTGTACCAAGAATCCAATCCTCGTCAGGTTTGGAGTCCCTGTCAGAAATAACCAAAAGTTTTCCATCACTGTAGCAATTTTCTGCAATGTCGGCTTTACTTGAAGTTTCTGGTTGCTCTCCCTTCTGATTTGCAGCCAGTTTTTCTCTATTCTACAACTTATAGTACGCATTCTTTATATGCTTCTTCTTCTTGCAATAGTTACAAATTTTATTACTCAAGTTAGAATTTGAACTGCCCTTCATAACCACCATGAACAAGGCCTTCCCCTTGAGCCTCAGATCTAACAAGATGTCTCGTCTTTTCATTTGAAAACAAAGTATCATATACTTCTTCAATGGTGAGAATATTATGATTATATACTATTGTATCTCTAAATGATTTATATTAAGTGAGCAATGAACACAACAAAATCAACTCCAAATTGTTTTCATCATACTTAATCTCCAAAGTTTCCAAATCAGCGACAATTTCTTTAAAGATAGCAAGGTGATTTTCTAAGAACGTACCTTCTATCATATGATGAAATACAAATGCTGCTTCAAGTGCAATTTGCTAGTTAGACTCTTAGTCATGCACGATTGCTCCAACATGAACCATAATGCAACTGCGATTTTTCTGTCAAAATATTATGAAAAAAATGATTAGAGAGATGAAGATTAATCTGTGATAGGGCCTTTCGATCCTCCTTTGTTTCTCCTCCATTGACCAATTTGAAGGCATCTTGTTAAATCCCAATAAAACGTTGTCCAAATCCATCTGAGCGAGCACTGCTCGCATCTTAATTTGTCACAACAAGAATCTAGTGCTGCGATTCAAAAGTGAATATCATACTTCATGGTTGCCATCACATAAACAAAACTTCGAACAAATCAAACATTAATTCTGATACCACTTATTAGAAAATAAAGACGAGATTATATGATACAATATGAAGTATCAATCACAACACAAGAAGAACACAAGAAATTTGGCTAATGAAATGAGAATTCACTATAATACGAAAAAAGAATACAAAGATATTGTATTTACAATATTATCTAACTTGTTCTAATTGTAAGAAAGAGTCTACTATATATGGGAACATACCAAAACCCTCGTACAAGTCCTAAAGATGGAAATAACATCAAAAAACGCGTCAAAATGTGAAATGGATCACGGGTCAAAACACAAAGGTGCTTGAGCGTCAGTCGATGGTAAGCGAGCGTCGGCTCCCTAATTTGAGTGCTTGAGCAAGAGCTTGGCGCACAACGAGCTGAAAAATGCCGAAATCATTTTTTGATCCATATTTTGATCTCTTCAAGGTCCACTTAAAATAATTCAGCAAAACCCAACCAAATTTGGGTCAAACTTGAACAGGAACCTTTGTTGAGTTGCTTGATCCAACGGTGACTGGCCTATTGAAAAGGCCTTTTGCTTTGCAAATTGGACTTTTCCAAGGACCTGGCAAAAACTGCCTCCGACAGTGTCGCATAACTCTTGAAAATTTACCTCTAAAATGTGCAGACTCAGGACGAATGACCCACTAGATCTTAGATCAGATATGTTGCCAAAGCTTAACTGGATAAAAGAATTTGGTTCTTAAAACCTTTGTTCACCCCTAATTTAAATGACAAATAAATTTACGCTTCACATATAGTTTGTTGAGACTTGCATGGAATTGCGTTAAAGGAAAA